AGAAGCAAAGCCCAAACCACACCCACTGCCTGGAGTCCATTCCGACCCACAGCGCCCCTAGAGGACAGAGTGGAACTGCCCACAGGGTCTCCAAGGATGTCAGTCTTCACAGAAGCAGACTGCCTCATCTTTCTCCCAGGGAGTGGATGGTGGTTTTGAACTGTTGACCTTTCAGTTAGCAGCTAAATGCTTAACCACTGTGTCACTAGAGCTCTTTTCATTAGTATTAATTTTACTCAATCAAACTGGCGGGACAAGAGATAGGAGAGGAGAATTCCGGAAAGTGGTCTCCATTTTGTCTGGGGGCTCATGGAACTCTGGAGGCTGGCGAGACTGCAACGTGCCGGTCGGGTGGGCAGGCGGGCCACTCTGCAGCAGGTGGTGCAGCATCCTTGCTATGCAGCGGATCCTCGACTTTGCTCTTATGGTCTTCGACTGATTGGGTCAGGCCCACCTACGTTGTTTTAACTTGAGGTCCACTGCCATCAAGTCAACTCCTACTCATAGCAACCCTTTAGGACACAGTAAAACTGCCTCATCGGGTTTCCAAGGCTGCCAACGTTTATGGAAGCAGGCTGCCTCATCTTTCTCCCACTAAGTGGCTGGTGGGTTTGAACTGCCAGCCTTTGGATGAGCAGCCCAATGCTTTAACCATTATGCCATCAGATTTCCTTCACTTAAGATCTACTGACTGTAAATGTCTGTCACCAACAAACACCTTCACAGCCACCTCCTGGCCAGTGCTGGATGCAGGGAGTGGTGCCATAGTCCAGGCAGGATGACACAGACATACTGGTCAGGACGGGCTATTCCGGCCCGAGGGCAACCCCCCGAGACCACTCTGCTCCCCGTAGCAGCCTCCCTGTCACCTCTGCCACTAAGAGCAGCGTAGGGACGTCCCAGTCCAGCAGCACAGCCCCCTAGACCCGAGGTCTCAGGACAACACGCCAGGACATGCGTTCACGTCACCTGGACCTGGGATACTGGTCCAAGGGGGTGCAGAGGCAGGCTGAGGCGTGCACGGCGGTGTAGCTTTGATGATAAAGTGCTGCACACACATGCATACACGTACACAAACACCCCGACACACTCACTCACATGCACACAAACTCACAATCCCCATCCCACACACTCACATACGAGAGGCCTCTGGAACCCCAGCTAGGGAGGTGGAAGGCCAGGCTGAGATGTGCGGGCTGGTGTGGCTTCGATGATAAAATGCCACACACACTTACAAACATGTCACACTCTCACACAGAAACTCACAAAGAGTGCCATACACTCACACACATGCACACACACACATTATATGAGAGGCCCCTGGAATTCCAGGCCAGGGAGGTGGAAAAGCAGGCCAGGTGTGTGGGCTGCTGTAGCTTTGATGATAAAGTGTTACATGCATGTGTGCACACACAACCTACTAACACTGTCACACATACTCCCACACAGGCACACACAACTCATGAACTGCCACACACACACTCACATGCACACACAAACTCACACGGTCACACACATGCACACACAATGTCACAAACACTGTCACACACAGTCATGTGCACACACATGCACAGTGTCCCCTAGATGCGCACATAAACTCGCAATCATTGCACACACTCACATGCACACACAAACTCACACGGTCACACACATGCACACACAATGTCACAAACACTGTCACACACAGTCATGTGCACACACATGCACAGTGTCCCCTAGATGCGCACATAAACTCGCAATCATTGCACACACTCACATGCACACACACACAAACTCGAACACCATCCCCCACACACATAAATTCAGGGACATACAATACACACTCAGACTCACACATGCAAACATACAGTTGCACTCACACACACACACACACATGCAAATGTACAGTTACACTCACACACACACGCAAACATACAGTTACACTCACACACACATGCAAATATAGTTACACACACACACACAAACGTAGTTACACTCACACACGCAAACGTACAGTTACACTCACACACGCAAACGTAGTTACACTCACACACATGCAAACGTAGTTACACTCACACGCAAACATACAGTTACACTCACACACATGCAAACGTACAGTTATACTCACACACACACGCATGCCAACATACGGTTACACTCACACACATACAAACCCACAAACACCAGGCACACACGCACACAGCCACACTCAGCACATGTGCACGCGCCCATCCACACGATTCCATCCACAACCGTGACGCTCTGAGTCTTCAGCTGATGCCCAGCCCTGAGCCCAGCCCATCGAGGCGTCCGGTAAACACGGCCGGTCAGCGAGGACCCTTCCCCATATGGCTGGCCGCTTTGGCCCTTTGTAGGAGCACCCTACCTGCTCTGTAGGTCGTCCATGTTCAGCTCTGCGACGTAGTGTGTGGCCGAGGAGACAGAGACCACCCTTGCGCTGTGGCCGGGGGACCCCGACTCCTTCAGAGTGTCCAAGAGCAGGTTGGTCAGCAGGAAGTGCCCCAGGTAGTTCAGGCCAAAATGCTCCTCGAAGCCATCCCGGGTGGTCCGCTGCGGGACCATCATGACCCCAGCTGGGAGGAGGTCACACAGGGAGGTCAGATGCAATAGCACCCCACAGGCTTTGCAAGGCTGTGACCCTTCAGACACACACCATTGGGTATTTCTTCCCAGGCGCCTTGAGTGGCTTCAAAGGGCCAACCTTGCAGCTAGCAGCTGAGTGCTGCCCCATCTGCACCACTGTCAGCTTGCTTCAAACAAACAAAAAAAAAAACCAAATAACAAAAAACTAACTGCCACTGAGTCAACTGGAACACACAGCAACTCCTTCTTGGGTTTCTGAGGCAGAATCTCTGTGGAAGTAGATTGCCCCATTTTCCTTCGGAGGAGTGGCTGGCAGGTTTGAACTGCCAGCCTTCTGGTTAGCAGGCAAATGCTTTAGGCATTACACCACCAGTTTGGATGTGTATAAATATACTCAAACCCACTGCCCTGGAGTCAATTCCAATTCACAGCGCCCCTAGAGGACAGAGTGGAACTGCACCACAGGGTCTCCAAGGCTGTCAATCTTCCTGGAAGCAAAGCCCAAACCACACCCACTGCCGTGGAGTCCATTCTGACCCACAGCGCCCCTAGAGGACAGAGTGGAACTGCCCACAGGGTCTCCCAGGCTGTCAATCTTCACGGAAGCAAAGCCCAAACCACACCCACTGCCTGGAGTCCATTCTGACCCACAGCGCCCCTAGAGGACAGAGTGGAACTGCCCACAGGGTCTCCAAGGCTGTCAATCTTCACAGAAGCAGACTGCCTCATCCTTCTCCCATCAAGCAGCTGGTGGGTTTGAACCATCCACCTTTATGTTGGCAGCCAAGAGCTCACCATGGCGCCACCAGGGCCCCAATTCCAGTAACTCTTCATCTTTATGACTTTCCCCCCTGGAAGGAGCAGACATCCCACTGGAATGAGCCATCAATCCTTTGTCGTAATTAAATACCCATCAATTCTCAGGAGTGGAGATATGCAACAAGAGAACTATAATTTTGACAAGAATAAGCTATCACCACAGAGCCAGTGCCCTGGGAAGATCTGCTATTGATTTTTCTTGCGTTTGATAAATCACTTGATTCCCTCCTGAGCTTTCCACAAGCAGCAGAAAAAGCCAGGCTTTATATTATGTTTTTAATCACGGTAGCAAATGCAAACCATTTCACGTGTGAAATACTTACTGCTCCCTATACTTTGATAGCTGTCTCTAATGAGAAAAAGGAAAGCACTAAGCCTGGGTTCCTACAGCCACCTTTGGAGGTTATCAGTGAGGACGGAGCCTGTGTTGGCTTCTGCGTTTGGTTCACAGGACTTGGGGGGTGAGGGGAAAGGGTCCTGGGCAAATGGTTTTAAAACTCTAGAGGCTCTTCTTCTTCTCTTGTTGTTGACTGCTGCCCTGTCAAGTGGTCTCCGACTCATAGTGACCCCGTGCACAGCAGAACAGAACCCTGCCTGGTCCTGCCCCAGCCCCACAATCCCTGCTAGACCTGAGCCCCTCATTGCAGCCACCGTGTCAGTCCATCTCGTTGAGGGCCTTCCCCTTTTTCGCTGACCCTCCACCTTACCCAGCATGACATCCTTCTCCAGGGAATGGTCCCTTCTGACAACATGACTGAAGTAGGTGAGATGAGGTATGGCTGTTCTCAGTTCCAAGGAATATTCCAGCTGCAATTCTTCCAGGACAGATGGGTTCGTTCTTCTGGCAGCCCATGGTCCTTTCAGCATTCTTCACCAGCACCACAACTCAAAGGCATCAACTCTTTTTCCGTCTTCCTTATTCATTGTTCAGCCTTCACATGCATATGAAACCAAAAAACCAAACGCACTGCCGTTGAGTGGCTCTGACTCCTAGCGACCCCTCCTTGGGTTTCTGAGGCAGTATCACTACGGAAGTAGATTGCCCAACCTTCCTTCCGAGGAGTGGCTGGTGGGTTTGA